GGAGAAGTAACTAGTAACTATAACTAATTACTTTTTCAAAGTAACGTGCCCAACACTGGTGAAGACTGCTGAGGATGAGGAGTGTTATGCAGATGAAGACCTCTTCGTCAGCGCATCTGCTCTGACCCTGTTCAAACCCGAGCCTCAGGGCTGTTAGCATCAAGGCTAACGCTAATGCTGCATTAGCATGTCGCCGCTGTGTGCCTAATGTAAAAGCTCTACAAAAGTGCGGTCAGCTTTAAGCACCACACTGGGACATGAAAGCTAACGAGATAAAGAGGCGCACACACACAGATACACTTAACACTAGGACCGCCGTGCTCTAAACATACCTTGCACCGCCCCCTGCGGTCAGTTGACCGCTATGTACTTTGCGCTGATACAGCCTTTTGCCAAATTGATTGTTCACTAAACCAGAACTTGTTGTTGCAAGGAAATCGTGATCATAATGAAACTGTGTAAATTATTTGTCTAAATATGCTAAGTAATTGTAATTCTAGCCGAAATAAAAGGCTAAGACGACACATTGTGCGTGTACTGATCCATCAAAATTACGATGACTTTTCTGGGTAGATTTATTTTGTAACTTTGCAAACACCTAAAAGGTTGCTCACTATATGTTAAATTTGACTCAGTAACAATATATAAATTCAAACAATATAAATGATAGTTTAGAAAAGCACGGGACCATAACGTCTTCGCGCTGCTATGCGTCTGCTTCTTACGTCATCTCCAGACTGTTTTCTCTTTCCAGCCGAAATCACCGTGGGAAATATTATCTAGATAATAATAATAGTATTCGTATTGACATAAGATCATCAGCTAGGCTTCCATCGTCAATGTAAAATCTTCAATTTTACACGGGACACGTTAGAAAGACAAATATATATATATTTGTATTTATTTGAGACAAGCAGTGCTCTTTATGATCAGAACAAAATTATAATCATTGCCTTGCAGTGCGCGCTGTGCAGAATAACACAGTGTTGTCTGGATGAAATAAGAAAGATATCCTTATTGATATGATGAGGGCCGCTCCTGCCACAGTCGCTCTCCTCCTGCAGTGTCCGAGGGTGACGAGAGGCCTCACAGCGCTCTCTCTGCACTCTGCCTTGATAGTTCATCTAATTGTTCTATTTTATTGCGATATTGTATTCTGCTTTATTGCCTTCTTCTATGTATAAATATAAGAATGTAATTGATGATGAATGAAAAGGCAGAATGGATCGACAGCGCGCACACAGACACCTGCGTATGGCTGGCATTACGCACGCTCATGTGCGTTATTGCTTCTGGACTTGTTACAACACTGCTGTCCGTGCCGTGAATGCACTATGGGTTTACGTTCAGATTTAGAATATTATAGGTGTTCTCCCCGCTGTGACATCTCCCCTGCAGTCAGACTGTTCTCATTCAATGTCTTGAAGCACTAGGGCTTCATACCGTGCACTTGCAGCTCTATTTGTGTTCCTCTCAATTCAAAACTCTTTCTCTCTCCCAAATAATAAAAAAAAAAAAACTCAAGTTCCTTTAGAGTCTAATGACAACATATTGATACATTTTTATAAGGCGCGAAAAACCCCCGGGAAAGGTTACTATGACAACGGTCGCCCCTGCGCCATGTATCCCTATGGGGCAGCAGAAAGGGCTGTGGTTTAGAAAAGTTAAAATGCGTGTAAATCTTGTTTTCTTTACTTTTTCCAAAAACAAAACACACCAAAATATAAACAACAAGTACCCAGTAAAAGTCATAAAATTTCAACTTCTGGCGTTTTGTTTTGAATACACTAATTAGCATATTAAAGTGAGTGACGGTCAGTTGACCGCTAGGGGCGCTCCTAGTGTTAAACACAGAGACAATTACACACACAGACACACACACAGGGATACACTCACACACTCAAAGACACATTGACACACACAAATACACACGGAGACACACATATACATACACATATGTATCTCAAAACCCTACACAGTGAACAAATCTGTTTCTGTTATTGACCTGTTTTAGGTCAATATTGTGGATGACTTTTTAATAGTAAGCACACTATAAAAAGGACAAGAGGATGAGTCCTCTGTGTGTGTGTGTGTGTGTGTGTGTGTGTGTGTGTGTGTGTGTGTGTGTGTGTGTGTGTGTGTGTGTGTGTGTGTGTGTGTGTGTGTGTGTGTGTGTGTGTGTGTGTGTGTGTGTGTGTGTGTGTGTGTGTGTGTGTGTGTGTGTGTTTGTTTGTTTTGTGGACATATGAGGACTTTTGTATGATAACACACCTTCAATATCAGGACCTGAGGAAATGTGGGGACTTTTTTCAGGTCCCCATTTTTCCATGCATACTACAGTGTTGTAGAGGCCCAGAACAAGCTCCACACCAAAAATCAAGCATGTCCCAAAATGTCTACAAATAGTGAAAATGTGTGTCGGGGCCGAAACACTCCGTCCCAAAAAGTTTGAAGCGCCTCTCTGGTCGTGCACGGTACTACCTTAACACACTTTTAACACACACACACTTGTCCTCATATGTCACCTATTTTGTCACAAACTTAAATACATTCCCAGAGGTGGGTAGAATAGCCAAAATATTGACTCATGGTAATTTAAAAAGATACTTGAGTAGTGAGTGTGTGTTTGTAAAAAAAAAAAAAAAAAGAAAAACACTTTCAGCCAGAAGGGGCCTTTTGGAGTGGAGCTTGCATGTTCTCCTTGTGTCAGTAGATTATCTCCCTGAAAATGTGTCTTAACTCCAGTTGGAAAATCATGTTTAAATTAGAATTTAAAACATCAAAAACAAATATAAAAGTGAGGTGTCAAAAATTACAAACATGTATAAAAATAAATAATTCTACATTAAAGTTATAATGTATTTGTCCACCTACAGAGTTACTCTCCGTGAAAGGAGTAACAATTGATAAATATTTCACTCAGACCTGAAGTGCTTGTTATACTGTAGGTCCTAATATGTCACTCAGACCTGATGTGTGTGTTGTAGGTCCTAATATCTCACTCAGACCTGATGTGTGTGTTGAAGGTCCTAATATCTCACTCAGACCTGATGTGTGTGTTATAGGTCCTAATATCTCACTCAGACCTGATGTGTGTGTTGTAGGTCCTAATATCTCACTCAGACCTTATGTGTGTGTTGTAGGTCCTAATATCTCACTCAGACCTGATGTGTTTGCTGAAGGTCCTAATATCTCACTCAAACCTGATGTGTTTGCTGAAGATCCTAATAACTCACTCAGACCTGATGCATGTGTTATAGGTCCTAGTATCTCACTCAGACCTGATGTGTGTGTTGTAGGTCCTTATATGTCACTCAGACCTGATGTGTGTGTTGTAGGTCCTAATATGTCACTCAGACCGGATGTGTTTGTTGTAGTAAGTAAGTAGTAGTAAGTAAGTTTTTATTTATATACCGCCTTTTCACTGCAGATCTGAGTCTCAAAGCGGTTTACAATTGTTAATTTTGGGCATTTGTCTCTCACTCCACACAGAGATGGGAGCGGGGCCAGTACAGGAGGCACATGCCAGAACTATTGGACATATTTTTAGTGGTAGGGGAAACCGGAGTACCCGGAGGAAACCTACGCAGACACGGGGAGAACATGCAAACTCCACTCAGAAAGGCCCTGGTCCGGCCGGGATTTGAACCCAGGACCTTCTTGCTGAGAGGCTAGAGTGCTATCCACTCAGCCACCGTGCCGTCCTAATATGTCACTCAGACCTGTCAAGGTCCTCATATGTGGCAATAAAATCATGCGGGAAATATGTTTATTTTAACCAAAATATCAACAGCTAGCTGTTTTTCACACACACGTCTCTCCTGCACTTTCTTATATTCTCCGCTTCTGTTAAACCTTTCATATAAGCCCCAGACCGAGGGGCACAGGGAGTGTGTGGCTGCAAGGCCAAAGAAAAGCGTTTCCTACGAGTATAACTCCCTCTGTCCTGACCCTGCTCTCAGTGGTGCTATCGCAGTAACACTTCAGACATTAAAGAATCAGTCTTTATTTAATCACCAGAACACACACACACACTTGTAACTTCCCTGCCTCCGATCACTTTGCTCCACACTTTTCATTCTCATTCATTCATTTCTCAGCGCTCGTACGCTCGTTGCTGAAGTGTGTGTGTGTGTGCACTCGTGTCCGGGGCGCGCACACACACACGTGCACACATGTTACTATCTGCCCTGACCCTCGCTCTCAGTGTGGTGCTATTGCAATAACACTTCAGACATTCAACAATCAGTCTCTATTCGCCAGAACACACACACAAACATTCCCGCAAACACTAGTGAGGTCGTAGTTAAAAATATGAAAACTGAGGACTTGCCTTTCCCAATGTTTTAGGAGGAAGAAAAAACACTTTCTAGACACTTGATGGCGCTGCGGAGCTATACACTCCATTGAAAAAATTTTAGAACCAAGATTTAAGAAAACGTTTTGAACCATCAGAGTGGGGACAATAAGTGAAATTTGCTAAAGAAATCATGAATAGACCTTTTTTTAACTCTTTGAAGGTTTATTTAGAATTATATAGTTGGTCACATGTGCAAATGGACACAGATTATTATGTGGGATCACAGCAATTTTAATAAAACAAAGCAAAACATTTGAAAGACAGGTTTATTTGCATCTTTGTATTTTGACTTGTCCCAACAGGACAATTACAAAGGACCTAATACAAAGTGCTCTTGAACGGGACTTTAAAACATAACTGCACTTAACATTAAAGCAGGGCGGTCAAACTCATTCCTAAAGCGCCGCAGTGGCTGCAGGTTTTCCATCAGACCAAGCAGGAGCAGAGCAGACTCCTCCCATTTCCTCAAACCTTCAGGTTAAGACTGAACTCACTGAGGAAATGGGAGGAGTCTGCTCTGCTCCTGCTTGGTCTGATGGAAAACCTGCAGCCACTGCTGCGCTTTGGGAATGAGTTTGACACAAATACCAGCTACACAAGCTGCCTCTTGAGTCGGATAATAGTATTATACACAAAGTACCTGAGGTCCTTCCAGGTTCTGTTGATGAGGGCTGCAGACTCCTGTGTGAGGCACAGCACACAGAGCCAGGTACTTCTCCATCCTCTTCTCCACGGCTCTCCTCCTCACTCCAGGGTTTCTTTGGGTTTCTAGAAGCTTCTGATGGAGACAATAAGACACATAAAGACTTATGTTTATCCTGATGACCAGGTCTGGACCAGGTCTAAACCAGGACTGAACCAGGACTAAACCAGGTCTACCCTAGGTCTAAACACCAGGACTACCCCAGGACTGAAACAGGACTGAACCAGGTCTAAACCAGGTCTAAACACCAGGACTAAACCAGGTCTAAACCAGGTCTAAACCAGGCCTAAACCAGGCCTAAACCAGGTCTGAAACAGGACTAAACCAGGACTAAACCAGGACTGGACCAGGACTGAACCAGGTCTAAACCAGGACTGAACCAGGACTGAACCAGGACTAAACCAGGTCTGAAACAGGACTAAACCAGGACTAAACCAGGACTAAACCAGGACTGAACCAGGTCTAAACCAGGACTGAAACAGGACTGAACCAGGACTGAACCAGGACTAAACCAGGACTGAACCAGGACTAAACAAGGACTGAACCAGGACTGAACCAGGACTGAACCAGGCCTAAACCACTGTCTAAACCAGGCCTAAACCAGGTCTAAACCACGTCTAAACCACGTCTAAACCAGGACTAAACCAGGATCAGTTGTACTCACCATCTGTCCTCTTGGTCAGTTTGTTTTTCTGGGCCTTTGTGGAGGTCGGCTCTAGCTCCTCTTCATCAGACACTTCAGCACACGCTAAGAACACACAGAAGGGTCAGCAAGGACTAAACCAGGACTAAACCAGGACTAAACCAGGTCTGAACCAGGTCTGAACCAAGACTAAACCAAGACTAAACCAGGACTAAACCAGGTCTAAACCAGGTCTAGCCTAGGTCTAAACCAGGTCTAAACCAGGACTGAACCAGGTCTAAACCAGGCCTAAACCAGGCCTAAACCAGGACTAAACCAGGATCAGTTGTACTCACCATCTGTCCTCTTGGTCCGTTTGTTTTTCTGGGCCTTTGTGGAGGTCGGCTCTAGCTCCTCTTCATCAGACACTTCAGCACACGCTAAGAACACACAGAAGGGTCAGCAAGGACTAAACCAGGACTGAACCAGGACTAAACCAGGACTAAACCAGGACTGAACCAGGTCTGAACCAGGACTAAACCAGGACTAAACCAGGACTGAACCAGGTCTGAACCAGGACTAAACCAGGACTAAACCAGGACTAAACCAGGACTAAACCAGGACTGAACCAGGTCTGAACCAGGACTAAACCAGGACTAAACCACTGAACCAGGTCTGAACCAGGACTAAACCAGGACTAAACCAGGACTGAACCAGGTCTGAACCAGGACTAAACCAGGACTGAACCAGGTCTGAACCAGGACTAAACCAGGACTGAACCAGGACTAAACCAGGACTAAACCAGGACTAAACCAGGACTAAACCAGGACTAAACCAGGTCTGAACCAGGTCTGAACCAGGACTAAACCAGGTCTGAACCAGGTCTGAACCAGGTCTGAACCAGGACTAAACCAGGACTAAACCAGGACTAAACCAGGTCTGAACCAGGTCTGAACCAGGACTAAACCAGGTCTGAACCAGGTCTGAACCAGGACTAAACCAGGACTAAACCAGGTCTAAACCAGGTCTAAAAAAGGACTGAAACAGGACTAAACCAGGACTAAACCAGGTCTGAACCAGGTCTGAACCAGGTCTGAACCAAGACTAAACCAGGACTAAACCAGGACTGAACCAGGACTGAACCAGGTCTAAACCAGGTCTAAACCAGGACTGAACCAGGACTGAACCAGGTCTAAACCAGGACTAAACCAGGTCTACCCTAGGTCTAAACACCAGGACTGAACCAGGACTAAACCAGGTCTACCCTAGGTCTAAACACCAGGACTGAACCAGGACTGAACCAGGTCTAAACCAGGTCTAAACACCAGGACTAAACCAGGTCTAAACCAGGTCTAAACCAGGTCTAAACCAGGACTGGACCAGGACTGAACCAGGTCTAAACCAGGTCTAAACACCAGGACTAAACCAGGTCTACCCTAGGTCTAAACACCAGGACTGAACCAGGACTGAACCAGGTCTAAACCAGGTCTAAACACCAGGACTGAACCAGGACTAAACCAGGTCTAAACCAGGTCTAAACCAGGACTGGACCAGGACTGGACCAGGACTGAACCAGGTCTAAACCAGGTCTAAACACCAGGACTAAACCAGGACTAAACCAGGTCTAAACCAGGTCTAAACCAGGTCTAAACCAGGTCTAAACCAGGTCTAAACCAGGACTAAACCAGGACTAAACCAGGACTAAACCAGGACTAAACCAGGACTAAACCAGGACTAAACCAGGATCAGTTGTACTCACCATCTGTCCTCTTGGTCCGTTTGTTTTTCTGGGCCTTTGTGGAGGTCGGCTCTAGCTCCTCTTCATCAGACACTTCAGCACACGCTAAGAACACACAGAAGGGTCAGCAAGGACTAAACCAGGACTAAACCAGGACTAAACCAGGTCTGAACCAGGTCTGAACCAGGTCTGAACCAGGTCTGAACCAGGTCTGAACCAGGTCTGAACCAGGTCTGAACCAAGACTAAACCAAGACTAAACCAGGACTAAACCAGGTCTAAACCAGGTCTAGCCTAGGTCTAAACCAGGTCTAAACCAGGACTGAACCAGGTCTAAACCAGGCCTAAACCAGGCCTAAACCAGGACTAAACCAGGATCAGTTGTACTCACCATCTGTCCTCTTGGTCCGTTTGTTTTTCTGGGCCTTTGTGGAGGTCGGCTCTAGCTCCTCTTCATCAGACACTTCAGCACACGCTAAGAACACACAGAAGGGTCAGCAAGGACTAAACCAGGACTGAACCAGGACTAAACCAGGACTAAACCAGGACTGAACCAGGTCTGAACCAGGACTAAACCAGGACTAAACCAGGACTGAACCAGGTCTGAACCAGGACTAAACCAGGACTAAACCAGGACTAAACCAGGACTGAACCAGGTCTGAACCAGGTCTGAACCAGGACTAAACCAGGACTAAACCAGGACTGAACCAGGTCTGAACCAGGACTAAACCAGGACTAAACCAGGACTGAACCAGGTCTGAACCAGGACTAAACCAGGACTAAACCAGGACTGAACCAGGTCTGAACCAGGACTAAACCAGGACTAAACCAGGACTGAACCAGGTCTGAACCAGGACTAAACCAGGACTAAACCAGGACTAAACCAGGTCTGAACCAGGTCTGAACCAGGTCTGAACCAGGTCTGAACCAGGTCTGAACCAGGTCTGAACCAGGACTAAACCAGGACTAAACCAGGACTAAACCAGGTCTGAACCAGGTCTGAACCAGGACTAAACCAGGTCTGAACCAGGTCTGAACCAGGACTAAACCAGGTCTAAACCAGGTCTAAACCAGGTCTAAACCAGGACTGGACCAGGACTGAACCAGGTCTAAACCAGGTCTAAACACCAGGACTGAACCAGGACTAAACCAGGTCTAAACCAGGTCTAAACCAGGTCTAAACCAGGTCTAAACCAGGTCTAAACCAGGTCTAAACCAGGACTAAACCAGGACTAAACCAGGACTAAACCAGGACTAAACCAGGATCAGTTGTACTCACCATCTGTCCTCTTGGTCCGTTTGTTTTTCTGGGCCTTTGTGGAGGTCGGCTCTAGCTCCTCTTCATCAGACACTTCAGCACACGCTAAGAACACACAGAAGGGTCAGCAAGGACTAAACCAGGACTAAACCAGGACTAAACCAGGTCTGAACCAGGTCTGAACCAGGTCTGAACCAGGTCTGAACCAGGTCTGAACCAGGTCTGAACCAGGTCTGAACCAAGACTAAACCAAGACTAAACCAGGACTAAACCAGGTCTAGCCTAGGTCTAAACCAGGTCTAAACCAGGACTGAACCAGGTCTAAACCAGGCCTAAACCAGGACTAAACCAGGATCAGTTGTACTCACCATCTGTCCTCTTGGTCCGTTTGTTTTTCTGGGCCTTTGTGGAGGTCGGCTCTAGCTCCTCTTCATCAGACACTTCAGCACACGCTAAGAACACACAGAAGGGTCAGCAAGGTCTGAACCAGGACTAAACCAGGACTAAACCAGGTCTAAACCAGGTCTAAACCAGGTCTAAACCAGGACTGAACCAGGACTAAACCAGGACTGAACCAGGTCTGAATCAAGACTAAACCAGGACTAAACCAGGACTGAACCAGGTCCGAACCAGGACTAAACCAGGACTGAACCAGGACTGAACCAGGACTGAACCAGGTCTACCCTAGGTCTAAACCATGTCTAGCCTAGGTCTAAACCAGGACTGAACCAGGACTAAACCAGGTCTACCCTAGGTCTAAACCAGGACTGAACCAGGTCTACCCTAGGTCTAAACACCAGGACTACCCCAGGTCTGAACCAGGTCTAAACCAGGTCTAAACCAGGTCTGAACCAGGTCTGAACCAGGTCTGAACCAGGTCTACCCTAGGTCTAAACCAGGACTAAACCAGGACTAAACCAGGACTTGTCTTTGGTCTGGACTCACATGTGTCAGAAAATACTGAAACGTTGCTGGATAATGTAGAGGAGCACGGGCTTCCAGGAGGAGGCTTGTACTCATCACTGGACCAGGCATCTGAAGATGGGCTACTCATCTGCAACATGCAAGATTTACAATTAGAATTCATCTGCATTTTGTTTAATACATTTCAACACATTTGAATTTTACAATAAATTTAAAATGATTTTTGGAAATTACTCCATGAGGTCCTGAATCCAAAACACGTTCTATAAGTAAGTAATATTCATATATAGTGCATTTCACAGACCAAGGGGAAAAAATAAATAAAATAATAATCGCTTGCTCATACAATTTTCATAATTCAGCAATTGATTTTAGAAGGCCTCCATCTTTTTCGAAGTTTCAGAGATCAGAACCACAGACCCACGCACAGACCCAGACCCACAGAACAACGCGCAGACCCAGACCCGCGCACAGACCCACGCACAGACCCACGCACAGACCCACGCGCAGACCCATGCGCAGACCATGGATGTATTATATTAACTGGATAGGGTATTACTAGCTTGTAGCTGAATAACTCATGTGCTCAGGGGATTCTCGCGGTACTGCAGACTGAACCAGACTAAATTCACGTGGGCTACCCAGAAATTTTCCCCATAGAACTCAATGCATATTAAAACAGCTCGACCTCAGCTGACGGAGAACCTACAGCTTTCATAAAGATCGGATTTTGTGGGGATTTTAGTGTCCCTTGTCATCCTGAACTTTTTTTCTTCTTAAATCCTTCGGTTTTGTTTAAATCCACACTTTAATGCCACAAACTCTGCTCCTCTGGCTCTCGCTCTAACTCCCGCTCTGATGAACTGCTCTGATTGGTCAGAGCGCGGCCGAGCCCCTCTGTGCACGTGCGTGAGACCCGGTGTGAGACCCACACACGCGTGTTTGGCGCAACGCATTATGGGAGATCATCCACTGCACAGAACCGGGAGGACCAGACGATGCCCAAATACAGGCGAGTTTCCCATAGATCTTTGCGAGTTTCAGGCAACTTCCGCTAATCTTTCAGCCCCCATGCCGTCACAAAGCGCCACTGAGCACAACCATTCATTTGAATAGGGCGCCATCTTGGATCGCCGGGGCTTGGCGCAGACCCACGCACAGACCCACGCACAGACCCATGCGCAGACCCACGCCGCCATCAAACGAACTTACCGCTGAGCACCACGTTTTGTATTTAAAACATTGGATTTGATACGGAGAAGTTACTTTGGCCGGAGTTATTACAATGAAAAGCACTCACTTTACCCACAGAAATAAGACAGAGGTACTTACCGCATCGGCTCTGCTCTCACGCGCCATCTCTCCGGTTCGTCGCCGTGTGCTCCTCGCGTGGTCCTCGTGTGCACGTGAACTCAGACAGAACGTGCATTCGTTTCACGCGTGGCTCATTGTGCGCTCTCATTGGTTAAGATACACAGTGTTGTGATTGGTTAAATCCACCTGCAAGCTGTTTCTTTCTCCCTCAAAAAATATAGTTTTTTACTTATTAATTTTACAATTACAACATTTCAAAGTTTTCAAATGAAACTTGTTCCTGGTGAACTCGTGTTAAAGCCCTTTCCTGTACTGTGTGTGTTAAAACAACACATTTAAACATGTTTAGTTTTAGGCTGCGATACTAAGTGCACAGGGGGCGGGACCGTAGGCTATTCTGATTGGCTGATCCAGAGTGGGCCATCAAAGAGAAACAATGTTTCAATCTGCAGCTGCAGAATCCAGGGGCTGGACTGAGACCTGAACTGAGACCTGGACTGATAAACTTAGAACGTATGTTCAGGGCTGCAGGAGACACGTGCGCACAGTCAAAAATATAGTCATACAATCAAACAAAAATACAACACAGTAAAAAAGGCTTTTGGCTGGTATCTTAAAGCTATTATTGGTGCATTACATTTGATGAAAAAAATCATCTCAAGCTTCTGTTTGTAACATCAAAAAATCGAAATAATGGAAAAGAGACTAAATCGGAAAATTATATATTTTATATACAATTTTTTTTTAAAAATATATATATATATATATATATATATTTTTTTTTTTTTTAAAAATTGTCCACTCACCTTTCACCACGGGCACTACTGTCACCTTTACCCTCCAGGCCCTCTCCAGCTCCTCTCTGAGACCTTGGTATTTCTCAAGCTTTTCATGTTCTTTTTTCCTGATGTTACCATCGCTTGGAATTGCCACGTCCACCACCACGGCTGTCCTCTGCCCTTTGTCCACCACCACGGCTGTCCTCTGCCCTTTGTCCACCACCACGGCTGTCCTCTGCCCTTTGTCCACCACCACGGCTGTCCTCTGCCCTTTGCCCACCACCACGGCTGTCCTCTGCCCTTTGTCCACCACCACGGCTGTCCTCTGCCCTTTGTCCACCACCACGGCTGTCCTCTGCCCTTTGTCCACCACCACCACCACGGCTGTCCTCTGCCCTTTGTCCACCACCACAATGTCAGGTTGGTTCATTACCATTCGGTCGGTCTGTATCTGGAAGTCCCACAGGATCTTTGCACGCTCATTCTCCACCACCTTTGGAGGAGTTTCCGACTTAGACCATGGAGTTTCCAGCCCATACTCTGCACAGATGTTTCTGTACACTATGCCAGCCACTTGGTTATGGCGTTCCATGTAGGCCTTCCCTGCAGCATCTTGCACCCTGCAGTTATGTGTTGGATCGTCTCAAGTGCCTCTTTGCACAACCGACACCTTGGGTCTTGTCTGGTGTGGTATATCTGGGCCTCTCTGGTGCTCAGGGCCTGTTCCTGTGCAGCCATGATGAGTGCCTCTGTGCTGTCCTGTAGGCCAGCCCTTTCTAGCCATTGGTAGGACTTCTTGAGATCAGCCACTTCTGCTATCCTCCGGTGGTACATGCCGTGTAGGGGCTTGTTCTCCCATGATGGGCTCTCCTCCAGCACCTTCTCATCTCGCCACTGCCTGAGACATTCACTGAGTACGTCATCCGTTTTGGCCTTCTCCATGATGTAGTTCTGGAGTTTGGATGTTTGGTCCTGGACAGTGGCTCTCACACTCACTAGTCCTCGACCTCCTTCTTTACGGCTTACGTACAGTCTCAGGGTGCTGGATTTGGGATGGAACCCGCCATGCATGGTAAGGAGCTTTCGAGTTTTAACATACGTGGTCTGAATCTCTTCCTTTGGCCACCTGATTATTCCTGCAGGGTATCTGATCACTGGCAGGGCGTAGCTGTTAATAGGAGCTGTTAACAGCTCCTATTAGTAGCTGTTAATATATATATAAATATATATATATATATATATATATATATAGGAGCTGGAGAGGGCCTGGAGGGTAAAGGTGACAGTAGTGCCCGTGGTGATCGGTGCACTCGGGGCAGTGACCCCGAAGCTAGATGAGTGGTTACAGCGGATCCCCGGAACAACCTCGGACATCTGGGTCCAGAAATGTGCAGTGCTAGGAACAGCAAAGATACTGCGCAGAACCCTCAAGCTCCCAGGCCTCTGGTATAGGACCCGAGCTTAGAGAGGGATAACCGCCCACGGAGGGCCAGGTGAGTGGACAATTAATATATATATATATATAAATAAATATATATATATATTCCTAAATAAAACAGCTATAATGTATTCAATTTTAAAATATTGATATATATCTGATAATTGACACAGCCCTAATTACCCGCCCCTGACTCAAAACTGCAGACGAATCACCACAGATTTCAGTCTAGCAATCAAATGAGCCTCCTCCTCAACACAAAACATGGATCATATGAAGTTTCTGAGTGTTTCATAATTCAAATTGGTGAGAGACACAGTTCCTCCAGCTGAGACACAGTCCATCCAGCTGAGAGACACAGTCCATCCAGCTGAGAGACACAGTCCATCCAGCTGAGAGACACAGTCCATCCAGCTGAGACACAGTCCATCCAGCTGAGACACAGTCCATCCAGCTGAGAGACACAGTCCATCCAGCTGAGACACAGTCCATCCAGGTGAGAGACAGTTCCTCCAGCTGAGACACAGTCCATCCAGCTGAGACACAGTCCATCCAGCTGAGACACAGTCCATCCAGCTGAGAGACACAGTCCATCCAGCTGAGAGACACAGTCCATCCAGCTGAGAGACACAGTCCATCCAGCTGAGACACAGTCCATCCAGCTGAGACACAGTCCATCCAGCTGAGACACAGTCCATCCAGCTGAGACACAGTCCATCCAGCTGAGAGACAGTTCCTCCAGCTGAGACACAGTCCATCCAGCTGAGACACAGTCCATCCAGCTGAGACACAGTCCATCCAGCTGAGACACAGTCCATCCAGCTGAGACACAGTCCATCCAGCTGAGACACAGTCCATCCAGCTGAGACACAGTCCATCCAGCTGAGACACAGTCCATCCAGCTGAGAGACACACAGTCCATCCAGCTGAGAGACAGTTCCTCCAGCTGAGACACAGTCCATCCAGCTGAGACACAGTCCATCCAGCTGAGACACAGTCCATCCAGCTGAGACACAGTCCATCCAGCTGAGAGACAGTCCATCCAGCTGAGAGACACAGTCCATCCAGCCGGTCGTCCGTGGGTGGAGGAGATCCCAGTGTTCTCTATTTTTGTGTTGAACTTTTTGATTCTCTGATCTGTGTCGTAGATTTCAAGGGTTTTGTTAAGTCATCTGTTGTAAGGTCTGTTGTAGCTGGCCTTATTCCTCCGTACAGCTCCGCTAATCATCATTTCTCTGCATGTAACGTCTGGGTCTGGTCCTGTGTTGCGAATACAATCAGTCGTATTGTCGACCGGCTACTCAGAGAGCGTGGGAGGCGGGTGTCGTAGGTTGGTGCGGTGACGTCAAGAGTTTGCAGCCGAAGGGCAGGTTTACGATCGCAAGAATGCGATAGTAAAGTAAATCCGGTCTGGTTTCTCAAGAAAATTGAAGCAGGGCAAGAGGAAGTTTAGCAAATGTAATACTGGTCAAGATTGTGGCGCTCCTCCCACGGGCTCCGTTAGCGGGCAAAGGAGAGGGCTAAAGCTAGGCTAAATTGCTAACACTCACTCAGGCTCACTTACATTCTGTCACAGTAAACTCAGATCAATTGGTTTCAATCTGCAAAGAGGTTAACCCACATCCCACCTGTTAACGGAGGCATTGGAGCAAATCCAGACCTTAGTTCGAAATGTATTTTGTGCTATGGTCGTGTACAACCAGTCTAGGACTGTTGTGATTATGACTTTATGTGGGAATATCGTGTGTTCAAATCATTGATTTTTTACATCTAAAATCATTTAATTTGTGGCTATATAAGCGTAACTGAATGCCTGGGTTCTGAGGTCTCATTATTTGTAGCTCACGGGCCTTTCTTTGACACTGTTCTGAGGTGGTCTGAGGAGCAACCTGTTTTGGTGCTGTCTCTTTAATGCAAATGAGGCGCTTTTGGACCACGCCCCATCCAGGTGACACAGGGTCAACTCCACCCCGAGCGGCCATTTTTGTAGATACTAAGCACAGATACAATTATCTCATAGAAAACTTCTCATTACATCGCAAACATGATGCAGGCCTTCCTCATTGACTGAAAGCAAATGTTAGTTTCATCTTAGTCCGTCTTATTATCGATCTTCTCTTTTTGCTGTGGGATCCATGCACACCATTTGTTATAGCACAATTCATACACAAGGCAACTCAAAGTGCTGAACAAGAAGCATTAAAATCATAAATAATCACAGAACATTAAAAAGAAAAGATAAAAATATAAAATCCCTCAGTTGTAGCCACAGCTGAAACAGAACTGTCTTTAACCTGGTTTTAAACATTGTCAGAGAGGAGGCCTGTCTCACATCTTCAGAGGAAGACTGTACCCAGATTTTAGCAGCATGAATCTGAAAAGAAGCCTCCCCATGTTTAGTTCTGACTCTGGGCACTAACAGGAGTCCAGTCCCTGTGCTCCTCAGGTCCCAGCAGGAGGCCAGTCCCTGTGCTCCTCAGAGTCCCAGCAGGAGGCCAGTCCCTGTGCTCCTCAGAGTCCCAGCAGGAGTCCAATAGAATTCTATAGACAATACATAATTATTTTAAATATATACGTTAATGCAATTCGTATTATAAAGATAAAGATTATAAAGAAAGAAATAGCATTCAATAGAAAACCTCGATAGAAACCTCAACCTTTCACCTCGATTTTTTCAGACATTAAAGACAAGATGTTATATAATAATTGTTTAATGAAAAAACAATTTTGCCACAAGCAACCAAAAGATGTGCTTCAGACAAGAATCGAACCTGGGTTCTCCAGGTCCCAGTCTCTAATGTTATCCATTTGGCCAACATAGCACCTCTGGGTTAGACAGGTTTGCACGCAGTCTTATACCTGAGCGTCTAAGTCGCTGGCAGAGCTAAAGCGGACTTAGCCTGCCACCTTGTGGCGATAAGATGTACTATTTTTCACGCAGCTGCGTGATTCCCGAGAAGCGTGAATGAAGACGACAAAACGGAATGGGACCTACTGTATGTATGGTAACGCAAACTTATGGCAACATTGTTGATAATTCAATGTGGCACAATGAATTATGATGAAAGTCATATTGCATTAAAAAAACAATAGGAAAAAGGATTATAAAGGAATCTATAATTTTTCTCATTACCTATTCGGCCGTGAAATGTCTGTCCGGGTGTGAAGGTTATGCCACGGCCAAAGTCGATGAACCTGGCTTTTGTATCACCTGTCCCAGTCTCAATCAGGATGTTGGAAGGTTTAATGTCCCGGTGGAAGACACCCCTATCATGCATTTCAATGGCCTTGTCAACCAACTGCTGGAAAATGATCTAAAACAGTGTAGGCATTAAAAGTCTATTGTCTGACTATTCTTAATTCTCATTGCTGTGTTGCTTAATAATACAATTAAAGTGGATTGTATTCCTGTCTCAACATGTTTCTACTGACCTTAGCCTCTGTGCATTCCAAACAGTGGGTTATTTGTGACCTGATGTAACTCTTTAAATCTATGCAGGGAATTGGCCTCTCGATGACCAGCACAACTTCCCAGCCCAGGTTGTACCAGTCCAGAAGAAGAGGTGTAATACTGGAGCCACAGGAATTAGGACCAGCCCCTAATCGAACAAACATTGACACCTCCATTGGCATTCGCTGCATGTGTCCATCCACTTCCTAAAAAAAATTATATAAAATATATATATATAAAAATATAGATGGATAGATAGATACTTTATTGATCTCCGTAGGAGAAATTCAGGTGTCCAGAAGCAGAAAAAAATGATAAAATTGTATAATTCTAAAAAGCTAACAATAGTAATAATCAGCAACAGCCTTCAGGTCACAGCAGTTGAGATGGAGTAGCCTCTGGGTGGAACAGGATGGGTCACAGCAGCACAGATGCAGTAGCCGCTGGGTGGAGCAGGACAGGTCGCATCAGCAGAGATGGGGTAGCCGCTGGGTGGAGCAGTACGGGTCACAGCAGCCGATGTGGAGTAGCTGCTGGGTGGAGAAGGACGGGTCACAGCAGCACAGATGGAGCAGCCACTGGACGGAGCAGGAGGGGTCACAGGAGCAGAGATGAAGTGTCCTCTGGACGGAGCAGGACAGGTCAAAAGGTGGAGCAGCTGCTTGGTTTGGACTCTTTTCTCTGCTCTGGTCCAAAGTATAATGCAAAATGCTTCAATAGCATTTTTCAAAAAGTTAGCATTCCTCCAGTGGATTTTCACTGATCCATTTGGTTCGGACCATGAATCCTCTCCGCTCTGGTCTGGACCAGTGTAGAACCATGAACACTATACTGCAGCAACATCCAAGGTAGAAAACAAATGTAAAGCACAAAACAAAAACTGTTACTCAGGACTTGAAGCTGTTTTCCAGCGCATTCAAGGCAAGGCAAGTTTATTTGTATAGCACAATTTCACACACAAGGCAACTCAAAGAGCTGAACAAAATAAGATAGCAATAAAATCATAAATAATCACAGTACATTAACTCATTCACTGCCCATGACGACAAAACTCGTCATGTTGAATAGTAACGCTCACTGCCCATGACGAGTTTGACGAGTTTTTTGTGTTATTACACGGGAGGCTACAGTAATGTCTGGCGCACCTTGTGAATGACCCACAATACTGATATATAGTGCAAATGTACCTGTAATGATAAATCAACACCAGTAGGATGCAGTATTGCGCCACAGGAGAGGTCATAAGTCAGTGGAGAGAAGGAGGAGGAGTGTGGGAGTGTTTGGAGAGCGTGCTGCTGTAGCATTGAGACGGATCAGCGATCTAGTTTAGCGATAGTATAGCAAGAGTGATGGCGAAAAAGAATAGTTATAAGCAGTGTACACTGCTTCAGAGATTGACTCGCGGATCAGTGAGTGAGGTCGAGAGGGGAGAGAGTGGAGACCCCGGTGGATGTCTGTCCGGAGCACGGACACACCTTCCGCCTCTCGCAGCGTATCAGCTGCTGCTGTTACTGATGCCTCGGATTCGTTCAGAGAACCTGATCATGATTTATCGGATGAGTGGTTGCAGTCTCAATCCAGCAGAGCATCCTCTCCAGAAGCTCCACAAAGAGTCGAAGGTAAGAACTTGCTATATTGCCAAGAATATGCTAACTTGAGAGGAGGGAAAGGCGCTGAAACTTGCTCTGATCTGCTAAGTAACACAGCTCTCAAATCCTACTGTTTCTTTAGTAAATGCCAGTTATGCGTTTTATCATTGTTGTATTTATTATTTTTATGTTTAGTTATTTCATACTTGAACATCTTGTTGTAGTGTCATAGCTCTGACTAAATGAAATGTGTTCATTCACAGATTCTGATAAAAGAGCCCTCCCCCATTGGGGTTGACAGGGCATGGAGGTAAAGATAATTCCTCCTCATACCATTGTACATATTATTTTTGTATATATTCTCCTGGTATAGTGATTTACAAATTTATATTATTTACAGGTGGTGCATCAAGAGGCAGTTGCTGTGCACAAAAAAGGTAAAAGAACTACTATTTCTATTCTTGTACATCCCATGGCAATATAATATAATAATAATAATATAGTATACTGTGTTTGGTCCAAAAGTAGTCAGTCAATAATGTGGGAGGAAGGCCTTCATTGTATTTTATGTATTGATTTATTGTGACAAATTCACTGTATAATATAGTTATTGTGTGTATCCATTTTCCAGCACGTTCGTCACCCAGAAGCTCTGGGGAAGATGGCTGACAGGAGGATGAGTGGGAGCCGAGTCAGTTGCCCTTCACAGGAGCTCCTGGACCACAGAGGCTGCGGACAGAGGCTGCGAAGCTGGATTCATCTGATCCAGACTTTCTGGAGCTGGATTCATCTGATCCAGACTTTCTGGAGCTGGATTCATCTGATCCAGACTTTCTGGAGCTCTTCTTCACGGAGGGAGAACTACAAATGGTACACGGCGTGTTGTGTTCCGTTGCACACAGTGTTTCAACCTCTACAACTCAAAGCTGAACTACTGGGAGG